CCATTCCAACTCATTATCAGCTCATGCGTTGAGGTATCAATCCTTAGGTTAGGTTCTCATTGTTTCCGTGTGATCCACCATTTATTCTCTTGCCCCTTCAGAAATGGCTGACACGGAAGCCGTCACTATCACTGCCGATCGATCGACTCATTCTCTTTCTTCATTCAACAAAAACACCTAAAGATGTACGTCAACCCATTCCCAACATCCTAATTATCGTTTGCGCGGAAAGTAAGTTTTATCCTTTTCTTTTTCCCCAATATAAGGTCACACGTAGATTTCTGCAATACATTCCGGACTCGGAAAGCCTGATTGATCTGGTCGTGCGTCTGGGTCTCTATGATCTTGGCCTAGAGGTGGGTTTTCGCGTTGTGGTTTTCTAAAAACTTCTAATTTACTAGTGTGGCCCATTGCTAGCAACGCGAAGCATGCTTGGCAACGAAAGACCATACATAAGTGCTCTAGTGCTCTTTTTTCTCCACCTCAGCACTTCATTCGTCGTCGCGATGTCGCAGGACTACGACTTCTGCTCTCTCGAACTCCCAACAGTAAGGAGGAGTTTAAGATAGGTCAGACGTATCTCATCAAGCCGGTAGGTTTATTCTGGGTAGTCATCCTTATCTTTTCCTTTATTTAGACAAACCAATGGAAGGAGTACGTGCCTCAGAGCTAGGCATCACCAGGACGCTTCCGGGTGCAATTTTTTTTTGTATTTCAACTTGGTTTACTTGAATGAGTAGACCTCCCAGTCTCTTGATACTTGGGTCAAGAACGCTTATTCATGCGTGATAGACGGTCGTGATGTCTCCCTTCAAGGGCGATCGGGGAAACAAATCAATATTAGTTATCCCTAAATAATTATCGCTCATTTTTTTATACGAAAAGCTAGATGGCAATCAATGTGTCGGATGTGGGTGCAGAACTCTGGGGCTTACGAACTCTAGGCACTGAGAACGTTAGCTGAATGAGGTAGGGTCCAATGACGTGCTACAGGTGACTCCGGCTCCTTCAGCATAGCCAATGGTACGGAGTCTGCATTGTAGAGATCGAGAAGAGTTGTGACTCTTGATGCGTTACGCAGACGAAAGATGCGGTCATTGAGCAGTTGAAGGTGCTATTGAGTCATGGGAAGGCCAGGCTATTCCGGAAAAGTGGTGGGGTTGTCGACTTGCTCCTCCACATTCCCATTCGCAAAGCTGTGACTTGTGAAATTCATGCACACAATGGTTGAAAACGCTGAGGTATCGCCCAAGTTGGATCAAGAG